GTGTGGCTTGGCTCCTGCTATTTAGAGGTTTGTTCCACCGTGGTTGAGAGGATTACAGCCTTACCTCTACAGCCGGGTTCCCTGGTACTCTCCTGCCTAAGAACACAATGGGGAGCTAAGCAGTATGGGGTTCAGAGAACGGTTTCTGGGGACAGGCTTTGCTTTGTGTCCTGTTTAAAATCCACCTGTTGACCATTCCAATGTTGTACCTAGTGTCTCTGATAAAATAGCAAACATACCCTGATCTTTGAGAAATAACCCCTCCCATCAAAACGCCACTGTGCTTGTTTTCAGGAGTTGAAGATATTCAGGTATTTTGTATTGCAACTCCTAAGTCCATTTCCCATTCTTCAGTGCAAGTGCTGTGATTAAATTAAATAGTGATAAACTGTGAAGTGTGCATACAGCATCTTTTCTGTCTCATGTGGCTAAAATAAAATACTTAGTTCCAAAGAATGTTTAAAAGTTTAACTTCATTACCTGTTAGGTGTGACAACAGGGTTCTTTAAGAACCAAGACTGATTTCAAACAACAGAGTGTGTGGGAAGTATTGCCTGCAGAAAATGTAGCCATGTAGTGTATTTTTCTAGCTTTAAGATCAATTGTAAGGGCATTTCCAAAATACAGGGTAACCCATAGGTAGTAAGTATTCTAAGGTAGAAAGTTATTCTAATTTCTGTAGTAGGTTACATGGCTGGTACTAGAAGTAAGGCTCTATGGTTTTGTATCTGCAAGGGAATTTATTAAAAAAAAATTAAGGTTATTTGATTTAGCTCTCTTTATGCTTCCTGTTTATTAGATAGTGAAGCTGAACATTACTGGTTGAAGATTCCAGTCTGGAACAGGTGACTGTTTAGGATTTGTCTCCCCTGAGCTTAGTCAGGTGAAAAGGAGGAAGCCAGCCTCAGCTGGTTGTCTAAACTCAGTGGAGAGCAGGGAGTGCTTTGCAAGAATAGTTCCCCTGGTAGGCAAGGTGGGTAAGACAGATGGAATAATTTCGTGCTGTGGGTGCCCTTTGAGCTCTTCAGTAGCCACAGGGAGTTTTTGGTTATTTGGATTATATACCTACATTTTAGGTGGCTGAAGTTGAAGGAAATGAATTCCATGCTTTCCAGTTACTCCCTGTCATTTGAGCTCCCACATGTTGAGTTGGCTATGAATGCTACAACTGATTGCTCTGTATGCATGAGCTCATTCATCATATTTCAGTATATGTGGACTTAGCTGTGTACAACTTGGTGCTGGACGTTGCTGGTGCTACCTTATTCTGCCCAAATACGCTTCTGTGTTTAGAATTTCCTTACCCATTTGTTCAGGCTAGGTTTTAGGGCTGATCTTTTCTGCATACTTCCAAGCAGAAAGATGCATTTCTGAGTTCAAGTATTTGTAGTGTTGGATTCAGCTTGCAAATTAAGATGCTTGAATGTAAACAGCTGCAATGAGGGTTAAGCTTCTTTAATAGCAATCAGAGGAGCTCTAGTTGGTACTGTCAAGCCTAGGGCATAATTCTGTCATCCTAAAGAAGACATTACTTCTGGTCAGCTGAACAGCTGTCTAGACTTTGCTGACTACCATGAGATCATAGGTACTGAACCTGTGCACTGCCATCAAGATACAAATGTGTCGTCGTACACATCTCCGTCCACCAGCAGTATCATACTGAGCACATCTGGAAAAAAGCTATGTAAAGACTAGCATCTAGAAAATACTTTTCTTTCAACTTTCTCATGTATTGTAGGAATTTAAGTCTTCCTACAATACAGGCTAATTGAACAAAACACAACTAGGCTTTCCTGTAACTAAAGCTTTTGAAAACCTTTGAACCTATTCCCCAGCTGCATTTTTGTTCAACTGTCATGATACATCTCTGTACGAAAGAGAAGGATTTGCTCCTTAAACATAGCTGGTAGCTGCCTGCACTCTTAAGAAGGACCCTTAGATCCAGAAATTGAACAAGAAATATACCCAGAGAGATTTATGTTTTAGAAGAATTTGATAGAACAAGTATAAGCGCTCTGGTAAATGATGATTCGAAAGTATAGTGATCAATCTAGTTTATAAATGAAAACATTGCATTATTTTATAAGAGTGCAGACCTGCAAGCCTAGTAAGAATTACCACTCTTTAGGAGTAGACAGGAACAAATAAAATAGTGATCTATAAAATGCAGTAGAAATAAGATGTATGTGTTTGAGCCTAAACAAGACCAACTTGAAATTTCAATCTCCTGTGAGGCAATGGTACCAGGTATCAGAGAAACTTTGTTGAGTTTGGTCATTCTCTAGGCATTTTCTGACTCTTAAAATCAGGTGGTCTTCTAGGGATAAAATTACTTTTTAAATGTTATGAAAATTTTATTCCTGAGTAAGCCATGGGAGCAATTTGAAGTCCAGTCCTTTTTAGAAAACACCCACGTAAAATAAACTTACTTTATAGCTAGCTGTATATTCTGCTGTTAAGGTGTAGTTTTCTGCCTTTCCCAGTTCACACCCAGATACACTTTTTACCAATGTATTAAATACTGGGGTACAAAAATAGGTGATGTGTAAAACATGCAAGGCTTATGCAAGAAAACTTCTTCAATGCCAAAACCTCTCCCCTTTCCTTCCTGGCTGCTGCTGGTATTCTCACAGTTCTGTCTGTTCAGTTGTGTGCAATGAAAATGATTTGGGGCAGAGATCTGTGTTTTGAATAAAGTAGTTAACTCTGTCATTGGGTAGTTAATATGATAAAGAGTATTAGAAAGTTACTACTAGCACCATTTTAATTTCATTGGAACTAGGTGAACCTTAAGGTCCCTTCCAACCCAAACCATTCTATGATTTTAAAAATTTATTTAATGCATTTATTTTCTTTCCCTTGTTCAGATAATTATAACCATACATTGACATAAACTGGGTTCCCAAGCACTATTAAAACCCCCTAGTCTACCTTCTGTCCTTCGTGTTGTACTTTAATGAATAGCTGTAAGCCTTATTAGAGAAACTGATTGGAAATGACTTATCTTTCCATTGTTTCAAGGTGACTCATTCTCCTAATGAGAATACTACTTGTTCTGCAGTGCAATTTAACCTAGTATAGATACAGCATGTCATCAAACAAGGACAAAACCACTATTTCTTTATCTTGTATTATTTATTTTGTGATTAGTCCAGGCTACATCATCCTGTAGATTTTTCTGGCTACCAGGAATAATCACTGTTAGTCTCCAAAAATCTAATTCTACTACTGGCCTTGCCTGTCCTCTTTCCCCTTCTTTCTTCTCTGATCTACCAAGAAAATAACTTGGTTTCTTTTTCCAGGCACACAGATGTGCACCAGATGGTTACTGATAGTTTCAAGGTCCTGACGAGTTATTGGAATAATTAGTGTTGGTGTGAGGTTTGTCATCTAACTATAATACTGAACTGTACACTCATCTCATTTTCAAGCTTTAAAAATAAAAGGTTTATTTTATCAAGACATTTGAAACAGCTTTTCAAATGTCAGTGGAGATAATAATTGATATGCAGTTCATGGTCAGAAGTTCACTCAACTCTCTTTAATGTGTAAAATTCTTCATCTTAAAAAGGGTATTGAAGGCAGACTACATTTAGGTGATGTACTAATTTTATTCCAGAAGGAACAGTAAGTTATCAATCAGAGAATGATTTTAATGGTGAATTGGGAATATTTCTTTCTAAAATATTAACATAAGGTGTTGAAAATGATAGAGAAATTGGTACATAAATATGATTTATGGATTGTGGAACTAAAAATATGGTCCACATAGTTGAAAAAGGCCTTATCCCCAGGGTCTGTTGAGTCTCATTCTCTTGTGCCGGTCTTTATTGCCACAGCAGGTTTAATGTTTGGATTTATAAAGTATAACTGTGAAAACAGCTCTTAAGAAAACTTGCTTCTACGTATGTTACTTCCACATTTAGTTTGTGCTGTAATGGATATGCCTGGTATACAGTATTTATTGTTTTGATAGCTGAATCTGATTAAAATGAGAAATAATTGCTTCTCTTTGACATAGGCATTCCTTGTATTTTTCAGTGTTTGTCACTATTTTAATAGGCATGTGACTTGTAACACAACTGTCTGTGGATGTAGCTGCAACAGCTACATCATCACACCCTTGCCTGCGGAGTTTAAATCCTTTACCTGGTATTTGGATCTCAGAAACAGTTTTGAAACAAGATTACTGTCATCCACCAAAACTACGGAATTTTTGCAAGCAAAGCAGAATAATTAACTCCTGTACAGAAAAAAAATGTGCTAGCCTTTTAATGATAAGGAATTCCGTGAGATTGATGGATGCTAATAGCATCCATAAGTATTTGCAGGATTGCGGGTTTATAAAATCCCAAGCTGAATTTGAACCTCCTTTCCTTAAGATTCACTGGTAATCACTTCAGGTGTACTCTACACTGCTGTTTCCTTTCCGGTCCTGATCAGTTAATCCATGCGTCTTTTCAAGTACATATGATGAACAAATGAGAGAGCTGTGGAGGTATTGGAGCTCCTTAGAGTTTATCATCCCTTACACAGGCTCAGTCTGTGCTCTGACCAACTCTTTCTTTACTTAATATCTGTCTTTATTTTTGATGCATTCTTAACTCAGGTCTCACTAGTCTCATAAAATTGCAACTTCATAACTGTTTTCATACAATGATGCTATTCTTTCCAGGTTTTAGACTGTTTGTTTATAGAATTCACTTTGATATCTGAGTAAGTCTTTCCTTGCAGTGAGTGAGAAATGGTAGAGTTCTCCCAATAGACGTTTGGAGCTGCCGATGTGGCAGGACTGACTTGCCCTGTGAATGTGCCTGCCCCGCTCCGTGGGCTGTAAAAGGCTGAGAAGTCCAGTCTCTTGAGGGAGGCCACTTAAAGAACTGCCTACATTTAGGCATTGTCAATACAACCTGTCTGCTGCATGTAAGAGTTCTTCTGTTGTGTTAATACTGTGTAGTTCAAAAAGAGTTTTGGGGTTGGGCTGTTCTTATCTTTTCCAGGTATGGGATATTGGAGGCCAGCCAAGGTTTCGAAGCATGTGGGAGCGTTACTGCAGAGGAGTCAATGCAGTTGTGTAAGTGTTCTTGTGTATGCCCATAGAAAATACATTTGAAAATGTCTAATATTATTAATACAGCTATGCTTTTCTTCCTGTCCACCTCCATCACATAAGAAGACCCAGCATGATAAAAGTAGTGTATTTTACACATCCAGTAACTCTGGTATATATGTTGGCCTATTCCAGGCCATTTTTTCACCACATCCCATAGTTAATTCTGCATCTTCCTGCATTAATAAATGCAGGGACTTATACAACTCAGGACTGTTTCAGTCCTGACTGTTTCAGGACTGTTGCCAATGCAAACACCTTTGTGACATTTCAGATGTTTTAATACAACTTTCCCCAAGTAATGGACAATACCAGAATAACTATATTCCCATTGCAGTTACATGGTGGATGCAGCAGACTTAGAAAAAGTAGAAGCTTCAAAGAATGAGCTACATAGTTTGATAGACAAGCCACAATTGCATGGAATTCCGGTAAGTATTTTGATTTTTATTCTTACCTGAATGTAGACGGTGTGGTCTGAATCCTCATGGATTGGTTCCTCTGGACTCTTGAAAATACCAGCTTAAATATGATGCAGCCTTGATACATTGAGCTCTCTTACAAAAATTTTTGTGACATTTTTTTAGAGGACTCAGCATCTTATCAGTGCTGCAGTGTGTTTGTACATTTTCTAGTCTAAAGGTCAGAATAGATTTGGAAAAAAAATCATTTTCACATGTGGCATTATTAGACAATAATTACTTCCAGTCAGTCCCCTTGTTGGCTGGGTTTGAACCACTGACCCAGATATGTTTCTGGCAGTATCTTAAGGCATGGGAGATTTGTCGTGGCAGACACTGACATCATATAGTGTCCTCTGCTTCCAGAGATTGTGGAGGTGCTTGAGTCTTTCCTGTCCTGACTTTTTTTTTTCCTTGATTTTTTCATTTTTCAAACTAAACTGTATGGAAAAAATGGAAATATGCCTCTGTTCTCCAGTAGGAAGTGTCAAAGAATAGTATATTCTGCTGACATTCTAGTGAGGAATTACAGAGGTGGAGACTAGTGCTTAATTAAATGTAATCTGCCGATTCAGATCTAGTAGGACTCCATGAGGTTAGTGTTGATCTTTGGTGCTGAAGTTGCTAAGCAGGAGTTCATACCTTTGATCATAAGAAAGAAAACAGTGGCACATAAAAATCAGGAAGAAGTTACAGTTTGATGGCTCCTGCTTGGCCCCTTTTTTGTAAGCAAATACTTGGACACTTGACAGTGATCAGAGTCATCTGAGGATGACACAACCAACATGAAATCATTGTGAGAATAAAGTTCTCCCACGTCCGTTCTCGAAAGATAATTTTTCAAGTGATTATCCGTCTTTTTTATAGGGTTTTCTATTAATGTTGAAATAACATTTCTTTATGTTAAGTACATATTGAACAAATCCTACAGAAATGTACAGTCACGCTGTTCATGGCAAGTGGCACTGTCCTTTGTACTGTCCTCATATCCTGTTTTACTTCACACTCCTCCTTCCTGAAATGATAGGTCTCAAATGTTCAGAAGTATTTAATTAAGTTCCTTTCCTTTTATATGTTATAATAATCACACTCCAATTGCCCAGCCTGACCAAAAGAGTAATTTCCAAGGTGCAGTAATGTATTTTTTACTTATTTTTATTTCGTAGGTAGTAACTAGTATTGAGCTTCCTTCAATTTATTGTACTCAGGCTTTGGCATTATAGATTTTAAGGTAGCTTTATTAATCCAAGACTGCAAGTAATGAGTTTTAATGTGTTCCAGATTCATGGGAAATAATGTGACAGTCTTGATTCAGAATTGTAACACATCTGGAAAACAATAATGCGATCATAATTAGAAAAACCTTCCACTGCTTAGTTTGTCTCAGAATGTGCTCAACCCATTCATCTGACGTTAGTTTGTACTTGAAGTCTTAAGCATTGCGCAGGAATTCTGAAGTTCCAGCATCTCGTCAGTACGTTTTCTGCATTTCTCAGACTTCATTCCTAATGTCTGCCCTTCTGATTTCTGCCAGGGATGCTCAAAGGGGAGGGAGAGGAATCAGTCATTTGGCTGGTGCTTGAGTAATATATCGTTTGGATGCCTGGCTGTTTGTTATGTCAGTGTCAAGAAGCAGGAAAGCAAAACTGTAGAGACAATCATGTCTGGGTCTTGAGGACCCAGCCTGTACTTCTGGGGCCCTACTTTTGATTAACATTAGTCTGGTCCTGTGGATTGAATGTCCGTTGGTGGCTTGAGTGCATCTGGTTCATGCTCTCCTCCAGGTAGAGTTGCATGCAAAAGGAATCCACTTAGTGCAATCTCACACCATCCCTTAATGCCATCTGGAATGGAGAGTTTTGCTTCCAGAGGAGACTTGTGGTACATCCAGAAATAATTGGATCTGATTTTCAGAGAGGGTACATCCAGCATCTGACGCTGGCTAGGAGTGGGATTTCCATGGCGCTCCTACAGTCACTGGTCATTTTGAGTACATCTGCTATTGCGTTCTAAATACTTGTCTGCAAGATCGAAAATAAGGCCAACAAATGGTTAAGGACAAAAATAAACTTACTGCTCCTGGATTTAACATGAATATGAATGATTTCTTTCAGGTGTTAGTCCTTGGAAATAAAAGAGACCTCCCAGGTGCATTGGATGAAAAGCAGTTAATTGAGAAATTGTAAGTAGCTGGCCTGTGTAAAAAGCTGAAACACTGTGAAATTCAATATGTAAGAGAAAATTATTGGTAGTCTGTGGCAATAACCAGCTATAACAGATTCCATTTTACATTCTCAGATCTTCCACTTCGAGCTCTGCTGGCAGTTGAAATTGCAATCTAGGCTGATAACTGACTGCAGTAGATTTGAACCTCTCTTGGTTATTATTTTGCTTGTATAAAGTTGTTTCAGATAATCCTGTTTTCCCCTTGCTGAAGATACAACTGCTATAGGTAGTAATAGGCTCACTTAGACTTTTCAGAGTACATTGTAGTGGCAGTTTAATGCTCGAATGGCATTAGAACAGAACCGTTTCAAACTACTGTCTGTAAATTTAAGCAATTCAGATATTTTTGATTGTCTCCAAAGTATATACTTATGCATTACTGAAATTAATTTAAATTGATGCATTGTAAAGATAAAGGAAAAACACAGTTTTGTAAAAATGGCCAGTATAGCAATAATTTTGTGGAATAGGAGTCTGTGCTTCAAATCACATAATTTTAATCTGTAGGAAGTGGAAGGGAAGTTTCAGTATAGAAGGATGGTTCAGATGCTAAGGAGCTGAATTGGGACTTAGGAAACACAAGATCACAGAATAGCTGAGGTTGGAAGGGACCCTCTGAAGGTCATCTTGTCCACCCACCTGCTCAAGCAGAGCCACGTAGACCTGATTGCCCTGGACTGTGTCCAGACAGCTTTTGAGTATCTCCAAGGGTGGAGACTCTGCAGCCTTCTGGGCAGCCTGTGCTAGAGCTCAGTGACCCTCACAGGTAAATGATATTTCTTTATGTTTAGAGGGAACCTCCTGTGTTTCAGTTTGTGCCCATTGCCTCTTGTCCTGTCACTGGGCTCCATCTTCTTTACAGCTTCCCTTCAGATATTTGTGCCCATTAATAAGATCCTGAGCCTTTTCTTCTCTAGGCTAAAGAGTCCCAGTTCTCTCAGCCTTTACTAATATGTGAGATGCTCTAGTCCCTTAATATTTTAGTGGCCCTTCACTGGACTATCTCCATCAGCTCCACATCCTTCTTGTAGTGGGAGCCCAGAACAGGACACAGGACACCATGTATGGTCTCCCCAGGGCGAAGTAGAGGGGAAGGATCACTTACCTCAGTGGTCTGGCAACACTCCTCCTAATGAAGCCGAGGGTACCATTAGCCGTTTTTGCCACATGACTAGATCATGTTCAATTTGGTGTCCATGAAGACCCCCAGATCCTTTTCTACAAAGGTGCTTTCCCACACAGTCAGCCCCTGTCATGTACTGGTGTTCCTCCCCAGGGGCAGGACTTTGCACTTGCCTGTGTTGAACTGCATGAGGTTCCCCCATTTCTTCAGCCTATGGAGGTTCCTCTGGATGGCAGCACAACCCTTTGGTGTATCAGCCACTCCTCCTGGTTTTGTGTCATCTTCAAGCTTGCTGAGGGTACACTCTGCCCCATTGTCCAAATCATTGATGAAGATGTTGAACAGAATTGGACACTGGACTACACTGCCAGTACTGGTCTCCAACTAGCCTTTGTGTCACTGATTGCCACTTGCTGGGTCTGACTCTTCAACCAGTTCACAGTCCCTATCACCATCTACTCATCCAGTCAATACTTCCTCAACTTATCTATAAGGGTATTATGGGGGGCAGTATCAAAAACCTTACTGAAGTCAAGGTACACAATATCCCCTGCTCTCTCCCTATCTACCAAGCTGTAGATTTCATTGTAGAAGGTTATTGAGTTGATCAAGCAGGATTTCTCCTTCGTGAATCCATGCTGACGACTACTGTTCACCTTGTCCATCACGTGTGGAAACAGTTTCCAGGATTAGTTTTTCCATCACCTTTCCAGGGATCAAGGTGAGGTTGACAGTTCCCTGGGTCCTCCTTCCTGCTCTTTCTGAAGGCGAGTGATGTTTGCTTTCCTCCACTCTTCAGGCACCTCTTCCAATCACCACGATCATTCAGAGGTTATTGAGAGTGGCCTCATCATGATATCAGCCAGCTCCCTCATCACTTGTAGGTGTATCTCATCAAGGCCCGTGGAATTCTCTATGTCCATTTTGCTTCTGTATCCCCTGACCTGATCCTTTTCCATCAAGGGTACAACTTCCTTGCCCAGCCTTTCCCCCTGGTCTCTGAAGGCTGGGATTCCTGAAGGCTAACTTTGCTAGTAAAGATAGAGGCATGTCCTGTGTAATCAGGTCCCTGCCTCATTGAGCAATGGGTCCATATGTTTCCTTGTCTTGCATTTGGCACTTAGTTACTTACAAAAGTCCTTCTTGTTCCCTTGGATGTCCTTCACGAGATCCAATTTCAGTTGGGCTTTGGCTGTCCTAACTGTGTCTCTGTGTGCTTGGGCAATGTTTCCATAGTCGTCCCATGTTACCTGTTCTTGCATCCACCTTCTGTATGCTTCCTCTTTGTGACTAGGTTTTGCCAGGAGCTCATCGTTCATCCACTTATGCCTGGCTTTTTTTTCTGGACTCGTTAGGATGGGCTGCTCTTCAGCCTGGAGATGATCCTTGAATGTTAACCAGCTTTCCTGGGCCCTTCTTCACTACAGGGCCTTATCCCAGGGGTCTATTCCGGTCAGATCCCTGAAGAGGCCAAGTCTACTCCCCTGAAGTCCAGGGAGGTGTGCTGG